CTACAGGAGTAGAACGCCTCTGCTTGTTCCTGATTGGCTGATGTTTTTGAACTGCTGACCTTGGAGTTAGCAGCCCAATTCATAATTCACCATGTCACCAGGACTCCTGGATTCTCACTCCAACACATACAAACCCTACAGGGATTTTCCTTCCTAATAAAAAAGATATAGTTGTGAGAAAAAAAAAAAAAGATACATAGGTGGGTGGTGGGTGTATGCGTAGATGGAAAGCAGGTGAGAGGGTGGATGCATAGGCACATGGGTGAGCAGGGGATGGATGAATGAATGGGTGGGTGGATGGATGGATAGATGCATGGGTGGGCAGGTGGGTGGATGAATGGATGGGTAAATGGGTGGATAAATAAATGGATGGGTTGATGGTTAAGTGAATGGGTGGGTGGCTAAATGATGAATGAATGAAAAAATGGATGGATGGATGGATGGATGGATGGATGGATGGATGGATGGATGGATAGAGGGATAAATATTGGTGGATGGTGTATGCATGGATAGAAAGCAGATGAGAGTGTGGATGGGTAGGTGCATCAGTGGTTGGATGGATGGATGACTGGACAGGTGGGTGCATGGAGGGATGCATGGGTGGGCATGTGGATGGATAAATGAATGGGTGGCTAGATGGGGGGGTGGATGGATCGATGGGTGGATGAATGAAGAGGTAACTATGAGGAGGTGGGTGGTCAGGTACATGGATGAGTAGATGGATGGATGGAAGGTGGGTGGGTGAATGAATGGTTTGGTCGATATGAAATACAGGAAATGTAATTATTAGGGACATCACTGGGTAAAGGGGACACTTGGGGTGGAGTGGGGAGGAAACAGACCAACCTGTGCCCACAAAACACATGTCATCCTCTCAGGTCTGAATGCAGCAGAACTCCCAAGAGACCCCACAGACAGGAAGGGCCCCCATTCCCTGGACCCACAGTCCTGCCCCCACGCCCTGTGGCCTGTTCCCCTCCACAAGGCGCTGGCTGTAAAGAGCCCACAGTGGACGCATGAAAAGAGTCCCCTTGCCCCATATTCTTTCCCAGCCCATGGCTCTCGCAGCCCATTCTGCTCCCTGCCCCCCCACCCCCACCCCCCAGCCTCTGGGCCTTCAGCCGCCATCTGATCTCTCCAGTCCTGGGGTCGGCCACCCACACCTTCACCCCGGTCAAGCACCAGAGTCTAAAACTGACTTTATCTTCTCTTTTTTTAAAAAATCATTTTATTGGGGGCTCTTACAGCTTTTATTACAATCCATCCCTCCACTGTATCAATCACATTTGTACCTATGTTGCCATCATTTTCAAAACATTATGTTTCTACTTGAACC